CGGGGCGACGCTCGGAAGCGCAGGGCAGCACTGGCTGTTCCTGCCCGTTTTCCTACATTTCTCTCCAGCTGGAGCCCATCCGGAATCCCGGCTCCCCCAGGCTGGCCGGGAGCACCGGAGAGGGCCAAAGCAGCAGCCCTGCGTTATCCAAGAGCCCCAGATGTGCAGGGAAGGGCAGCGCTCCAGGGAATCCCGGCCCCAGCTCCGCTCCAGGCCCCAATGTGACATCCTCGACCTTTCCAGCTTTGATCCTCACCTTCCTCTGCATCCCGGGGCTTCCGCAGCCCTACGGACACGGGAAGTTTCCCTGCTGCCAAGGAGCGGTGGGAGGCGGACAGAGCCCGTCGGCCTCGTTCCGGCGCCAGGCTCGCCATCACCCGGGAATTTTGCACCTTTTCCTCCATGTTCAGGATCGGAATCCAGGGAAACGCTCTGTGTACAAACGGATCACCCGGAGACGAGGAGAGGCTGCGGAATTGCCGCGTCCATGAGCGCGCCGGGCCCTCCGGCGCCGGCGGACACTGATCCGCAAGCAACGGGGACGGCCCATACGAGGATTAATGGATCACGCCTCGGCCATCCACACACATTCCAGTTACACAGCAAAAATCGGGATAATAAAACAGCTCTTAGTGCCAAAACGTGGTTAAACGGCCTCTGTGTGTGTCCAGAGCGCATCGCTGGGTGCCGAAATGCGGGCGCCCGGCTGGGCCGAAACGTGAGCGCTGAGAGGGCGTTTGCTCCTGTTCTCCCCGTTTGCTCCCATTTTCCCCCCGTTTTGGCACTCATCCCGGCCTCATCACATCCCATTCCCGCTGCTCCCGGCGCTGCTCGTGCCGGCTCCGCTTCCCTTGCGGTGCCGAATCCCTCCGTTGCGGCCGCTCGGGCGCCCCGTTCCCCTGGGTCGTTTCGTCTCGGCTCAGCCGCGATAACGGATCCTTCTTTACAAGCTGAACTGGTGAGCAGCCTCCGGGGCAATTCCTGGGTAGCGCCGATCCCACTGGAATTCACCTTGGGAAAAAAAAAAAAAGAAAGAAAAAAGAAAAGAGGGAAAAAAACCCGTTTAAACCTCCCAAATGCTGCTATTCACAACAAGGCGTTACTTAGCGCAGGGTTTTGCTGACAGCGCGCGGATGGAGCAGGGCCCTGTGCAGAATCCCTCATGGAGCGCGTTCCTGCTCCGGCCGGGAGCACCGGAGAGGCTCCCGGCCTCCGCCTCGGCAGCGGCAGCCTCCCCGGCACGTTATTTAATCAATTATTTGTGCATTTATCGACAGGGATTAGGTTAAATCGGTGTCTACCTGCTGCTGCCGTCTCCGCAGGGCCCTTCCCGCACGCGCACAAAGCGGGAGCGATCGGGAGGGATCGGGAGGGATCGGGAGCCGGCG